ACTACATACTTCAACTAATCCACCCACCATAATTAACTCAGCAATCATTTTATCAAGTTCTCATACGATGTAGCCCAACTTTCCAGCGGAGGCAATCCAACTCCAGATCAATTGTGCTTAGCCCTCCTTCACCATTATCCACATCAACAATCATATTTTCCGTTTAATTTTTCATTCTTAATATCCATGTAAATGCATAATTTTCCCAGCAATCATTTATGTTATTACCAAATTTAACTTTATAAAGAATTCACGTATTTATATTTTTTGTCATTTAACCGACGAGATCAACACTAACGAATTAAATTAATCAACTAATTCAAACAAACTTACTAAATTGAAATTATATAGAATTTAATTGTTATACCCGAAATTTAGAAATTTCCTCCACTGTACGCAGAAATTAATTCAACTAATCAAACTTGCTAAATGAAATTATTAGAATTAATTTATACCCCGAAATTTAGAAATTTCTGTCGCAGGTTGCTAGATCGGACTTTTACGCGTGCCAAATCGAAACTACGCGCGCTGGAAGCGGCTGGACCACCTGAGGCCGACGCATGAGGGGCTGAGTTGCAGTGGTGGTGCTATCTGGCGGCGGAGTAGCTAGCGGTGCAATGGCAGGCGCGACAGATCTGCCCCTGGTGGTCGGAGGCGCGTTGGAGCTGCAACTGAGCTGAGGCACGACTGACATGTTGAGGCGCTGCTCCTGCCGACGGTGCTCGCCTGGACAGAGGCTAAGAAGAACGGCGAGCAGCCTGGACAGCTGCATAGCGCAGGACAAGTTGGCGCGCGGATTGGTCTCCGCGTTGAACTGGTGGAGGGCGCGATCTGCTCTCTGCAGGCAAACGGATCGCAGGCGCAGGGAAAGAACAAAGAAAGAAAGCAAAAGGAAACAAGCAAGAAGAAGAGAGGAGGAGGAGGAGTGAGGTCGCGCGAATCCCAGGGGAAGGAGAAGAGAAAAAGAAAAAAAAAGAAGATTGTTTCTAGAGGTTCTGGGCTCATTCCGGTTCGATTCGAATCGGGTTTGCGTTAACTCAATGATTTAGCTCTAT